ATGATTTATCTGACTGTGGTTTGAAAACTAAAAAAAAATTGATTTTTTAAAGCTTTATATGATCTTACTTTGATTCTTTTTCAATAAGAATTTTATAACTTCAACTACTTTTATTAAATTTATTAATCTTTTTAAATAAACCTACTGTATTCTGGTGTTCACCTTTTAATGCTATGAGATTATTTTAAAATAATTTAGCAAAATGATCATAGTTTCATAGTATATTTAGGCGTTGGAATGGACCTTAGAGATCATCTAGTCCTACCTCCCACCAGAGCAGGTTGCTCAAGGCTTTAGCCAACCTGGCTTTGAACACTGCCAGGGTTGGGGCAGCCATAGCCTCCCTGGGCAACCTGTGCCAGTGTCTCACAGGAAAAACTTCTTCCTGTTATCTAATCTAAATTTCCCCTGTTGCAATTTATGCCTGTTATCATTAGCTCTGTCAGAAATGCTAATCGTAGAGCTGAGATACTGAGAACTGTCTCCTATACCTGTGTGCTGCCATATCTGACTCTAACTTTATGCAGGGAATGAACTCATAGCAGTAACTTGCATAGGGTTTAGTTCCAAAAGAAATTGCAATGTGTATTACATTAATTTCTGAAGTTGATGTGCTAGTTACGTCCTACTCTTAGGTTATAAACTTCTACTTCCTAGTAATCAATTTGTGTCATATAAGAGTTACGCACTCCATGGCCCAGAGTTTTCTGAGTAGTGCCCTGAGATGCATGTCACTGTGAACAGGACAATATTTTTCTCAAACTTCATCAGCACACACAGTAAGTGGAAAACAAACCACTCAGCTTTATCTGTACTTCTCTGTAGGCTGTACATGGAGAACAAAATTTATGAATACAGTCTTAAGTTTTTGAAACATAAGACAGTTATTTGAATCTCTGCTCAGTGACATAGTGTCACATTTTCTTTCATCTATTTGCTATGTTAAAGAAATTCTTTATATTTTAAATATCACTTTCCCCTCTCAGGGATGAATGGAGAACTAAAGCTGTTTTGTAAACAGCTTTGCTGGATTAGAGTTGATCTGTAGTTGTATATATCATACAGGAAAACCACTTAGAACAACAGTGAAGTTTTGCTAAGGAAAACAGCCCAAGGCCATTTCTACATGTGGAAATTCAAAGCAAAAATTATGCTTATATCAACACCAGCAAAATACGAGAGTGGAGTGCTGCTCTGGGTCCCAGCATGGGAAGGACATGGACCTTTCAGAGCGAGGGGAATGGCTTCACACTGACACAGAGTAGGTTTGGATCTGATATTGGGAAGAATTTCTTCTCTGTCAGGGTGATGAGGCACGGGCACAGGCTGCCCAGAGCAGCTGTGGCTTCTCCATCCCTGAAAATGTTCTAGGCCAGGTTGCACAGACCTTGGAACCACCTGGTCTAGTGGAAGGTGTCCCTGCCCATGGCAGGGAGTTGGAACTAGATCATCTTTGATCCCTTGCCAAATCATTCTGTGTTTCTGTGATTCTATGAAATGCACTCCTTAAGGACTGTGTTCTTGTCCTCTTTTGGTTGCTTAGCAAGAGGAGGTTCTGGCTTCAATTTTGCTGTCAATCCGTACTCACTACTTCTTTAGACCCTGGCATAAAATGAAAAGGGAAAGTGCTACTGTGCCTCCTCTGCCAGGCTTCCCTGATTGCCAGGTCTGCCTTTACATAAGGCTTTTTAATATCATTACAGTAGTCTGATTCAGTAGCCCTATCAGTTTCTCCTACACATCTAATCCAGAGGATTACAATTTAACTGCCAGGCATTCCTTGATTTTCCTGTTAGTCAATGTGAAATCTGCAGGGCCAAGCGTTTAATAAATACCTTCCATCAGCTCCCAACCACATCCATAGTGTTCTGCTCCCGGGAATGGAGAAGAAAAGTCATTTCCAAATTTGGTAAAGAAATTTGGGGTCAACACCATCTCCACGCATTGCACAAAGTAGATGCCATGATTCACTGCTAGAGCTGTGAATCCCAAATGAGAATCTGTTTCTCAAATAACTCTTAAAAGGCTCCTGCCGTCTAGGTTGAACAGTACAGAAATTTATCCAGCTCAAGTGTTACTCACTGATCATATTCCTCTGCAGTGCACCAGTACCTGCCAAAGTCCCATGGGATATTTTTCCTTGCTCTGCACCGCCTAACATTCACCCAACTTTCCTGTCAGTACTTCAGAATCTCACAGCTGTGTGTTTGTTGAGCTTGTGTAACTGTGCTCTTCACAGGGTTACTTCACTGAGTGAGGTTTGATGACACGGGATGTGCATTACTAATATTTTTGATGTAGTTTTGACTTGTTTGCCTTAAGGTATTGCTGAATACAGAGCTACTGTGAGCACAGGCCAGTCACAGTGAATCTTATGCATTAGTGTTAGTGGCTAGGACCTAAATTTGATTGGAGTAAGTGAAGAGTAACAAGCAGGAAGTCTGGGGGAGGAACTGAGGAGGGATGCACTGAAATGAACTTCATGCTTGCCAAGGATTAGAAGAGTGGCAGTCTGAGAATTTAATATCCTGTTCTTTCTTCAAACAAAACTGTTTCTGTGAGCATCATATTGTTTTATCTCATTTATTTCGTCTCTTTTAGGAGGCAGCCTGTGTAGATTAATTAGGAATTGTTTTCAAAAAGCTTCTTGAATATGAAAGGAAGTGTTTTACTTTACTATTATTATTTGGTCCTGTTAGAAAAAAAAAGAACTATACCAGTTTGTACTGGAAGAGTAAGAAAGTCAGAATAACACATTACACCTTACTCTGTCCAAGCCTTAGAAAGAACCCAAGTGAGCCAGGACTGTTTGTGGTGTGACTCTAGTTCTGGGTCAAAATCACTTTGTTTCTAAAATCCAAAAACTCTTCTATGGAAAAGGAATCTTAGCTTGGGCTTTCAGTTTATGCCTCCAGTTGTGAATTTAAGCCTGGATGTTGTTTGAAGATGTTGCCTCTTACCCTGTTTTACAGTGGTTCTATGTCTCCTATGTTTTGATTCTTGCTCCACTGAAGGAAGCAGAAAAATCTGTCCCCTGGCAGGCATATGGACTCACAAGTCCAATCAGATATGAACCAGGATCCCATATGAGCAAACTTAACCACCTTGGCTGCAAGTTCAGCTGTTTCTCTTACCATGCCTTCGCCCACTGAACATGCCCCAGGAAATCTCTGTTTAACATGTGCCAGAAAGCAGCAGCAGTAAACTCCAGTCTATTCTCTAGGCTGAAGAGCATTTTCAGAGAGTGTCTTGACCAATCCTTCCTGTCAAGCCATCAGGGCTGTTTGCTTTTCTGGGATGAGAGAATGCTGAGAGATCAAAGGCCTCTCTTGCTTCCCCTGAATTTTTCACAGAATTTGCTTGTAAGACCTGTATTCCCTGATTTCTTTCCTTCTATCTCAGCTGGCAATGAGGCCTGTAATCCTTCTTGTTCCCTCGGTAATAGATGTTCCCCACATTGTGGCTGCATTGTTGCAGCACTGCGCTATTAGCTCCCCGTTCTTCCATGCTGCCTGAGATATTGAGTTTTACTTTGGTAGCAGCTCTTCTCCCCTTTTAACAAGACAAGTTTCTCACACTTTCAGATTTCATGCAACAGATTTCACAGTTGCTTTGGTGATTACTGAAGTTTAAAAACAAATGCTTTTTACATTGTTTGCTTTTAAAAGAACAGCTGACCTTTACTGGGCTTTGGCATGTCTTCACGTGTTTTCTGCTATGAGTGTGTATGAACCTAAAAAAGAACAACAAATCCCCAGACCCTCAAAAAAACCCCTAAGCCCTCAGGATTTTCATAGACATGCAACACTGGGAACTCATTTTAAACTGTGAAAAAACAGCCTAAGACACAGTGTAAGCTTAAGAATAGGTATTTCTGCATCTCTTGTATGTTGTGGTTTCTGATGAGATCATTTAGATATGAATCAGTCAAAGAAAATGTATCAGGAATCTTTTTATGTAACTTCAGCCTCGTTAGAGTAGCTGTAATGCAGCTTTTTTCCCTGAGCCACATCCCATCTAGTTTTCCAAGAGATCCATGGCTGCACTTCAGGATTTGCCTGTCACTGTGGCATCAGCCCTGCAATGTTAGCACATTGGTCCATTGCAAGGAATGTTTACACTGAGGTGAAACTTGATGTGACCTTCTAATATCCTTTTGGGACCACATGAAAGGGTGGGCAGGGAAGGACAAAATGCTCCCAAGTGCCCATCAAGGAAAATATATTTGAAATAAAACATGACTGTGTGTTTTCTCTGAAAGTGAAAGAGAGACACTGAGAGCTGGAGCACAGATGTGCATAAGGAGCTTCCTTAGGTTCCGGAACTGTTTTGGGATCATGGGTTTCACAGAGGACTCACCAGTGCTGTTCCTCTGCTGGGCCATGAAGGTTTTGCTGGGCAGTGCTGCTTCAGCGAGGTCAGGACTAAATCAATAATGCATTGCTGAAACCTTGTTCACTTATGAGAAGTTTTTTTCTTTTCCTGTGGAGGAAAGGAGAATAAGAATGCAAGAACATTTTCTTTGACTTATTTGACATCCTAAGTGTTTGTAATTGACCATATAAAACGTGCAGGCCAGCAAGAAGGCTAGAAGCTTCTTCAGACCCTAAGACAAACTACAAGTAAAATACCAGAATGATTTGGGCTGGGAGGGACATTAAAGCTCATCAGTTCTACCCCCTGCCATGGGCAGGGACACTTTCCACCAGGGCAGGTTGCTCCAAACCCTGTCCAACCTGGCCTGGAACACTGCCAGTTCTTAAGCCTAAATGTTTTCCTAAGTTCGTGTAATCATTCAGATGAGTCTTCTCTCACTATTTCAGGCAATAAAAGAATTCACAGTCACTTAATTTATTTTTAACCCATTTAACATGCAATAATATAATGAACTACAAATTTAATACCTAATGTGGCTCATTTATGATGTAAAAGTAAACGTTTCAGAATGCTTTCCTGAGCTCTTTAGTCACTGATTTGACCTTTTTTTTCCCCCCCCGCAGGAATCTTTAATGACTGGAAAACTCAATGGATCATGTTTTTCTCATCTAAGCTATTTTTACATTGACTGTGCTGTAAACACATGGAGGAGCTGTAAGTAAATGTTCTGTACTGCATGATGAATTGGATTGCTACAGTCTGGAGGAAAGCAAAATAGTCATTTCATTTCCGTGGTGATTTGCATAGCCTGTGGTACAATGCCAGAAAGACTAACGGAAATGCTTATGGATACATGGACTCCATTAATAATATTATGGATTACTGTCCTTCCTTCCATTTACATGGCTCCAATGAATCAATCTCAAGTACTACCAAGTGGATCCAGTACAGGACTAAAAAGGCTGAATGAAGAACAAAGAGTTCTGAACCGTTCCAAGAGAGGCTGGGTTTGGAATCAAATGTTTGTATTGGAAGAATTTTCTGGACCTGAACCAATCCTGGTTGGCCGGGTAAGGCAACATTTGCTTTGTTTCTCTGACTGTAGAAATGTATAGCATGAGAAGGTCTTCAGTCATTCACGCTCTTCTAAGGAATCCAAATCTGAGGTGCTTTGTGATTCCTCAGTTCTTCTCTATGATCCATACATTTGTGCTTTAAATGTCCCTCATTTTAAGGACATGGTTTCCTAGTTAGCTAACCTGCTATTTTCAACAAAATTATGCATATTCCATTTGTCAAAGAAACTCACAAGCATGTACACATCCTTTCTTTTCTCTCATTAGTCACTGCTCCTCACCTCTGTCAGCTGATGATGTTTACCAAAGTAGCTTTCTTGCAGTATGTTTCTATACATTCCAAAAGGTTGTCACACCCCTAGGTCAATTTTGATCTCTAGACTCATGAAACAAGTTATTTATTCTCTGAGAATTTTCAGACAAAAAAGGGAAGTGTGGGATTTACATCGAAGTACAAGGTGCTGGTTTATGGGGAGGTGCTGGTATACATACGTATGAAATAACACTATTGCCACAGATTTGGTAATTCCCTTTCAAAGTCAGGAAGATAACACAGGAAAATGATCATGTTTTCCTATGTGTCCTAGCTTGCCTGTTGCCTTAGCTTGTTGCCATGCATTAGCTTATTCTGTAGCTCAGTGTGTTACCTCCAGTCTGTGAATCAGCCCTGCACTTACATGAGATCCTGAGCCATCTGTATCCATCAGGGATGAATTATCTTTAAAATTATTCTTTGAGAAGAATGATCTGTTCATAAAGGCGTATGTGACAATGAGCAAGTAGAAATGCCTTAATTGTTTATCACTAAAGTTCAGCACCTGTGAATAACCAGGTATGTTATTGTCATAGTAGCTGGCTACTGAAATGGAGTAAAAAAATCTAGACAACCAGAATTATATGGATAGCAATTCATTTCATGGTAATTTTTGAAATTCTATGGATAAATGAATAGCATATTGTATAATATAGGCACTGTCAATAGCTATATGTATTATTGAAGAGAACACAGATCAAGTGCATTCCCAGATTTTCTCTAGTGTAGCCACTTAAAAAAACAGGGTCAGAAGGTGTAATGATCTTTGTATTCAGTGACTTTTGGTGCTGTGTCAATTTAAATTTCTACCAGGTATTATATATCTGTTCTCATTTGTTTCTCTGTGGTTAGTACCGTATCTCAGTTTCAGAGATAGCAATGTACTTATTTCAGATCTTAAAATGTTTTATTCAACCCATTCTTTGTATAATATTTTAGTCAATCCTTTAAAATGATTCTGAGTAGCTGGGGAGAATCCTGGGTTTTTACTTTGTAGTACTTTGATTTTCAGAGTGTATCTTAATATTTTTACCATATTAGGGTTTTTTTTGGGTGGATATAATATCCTGAATTGTTGGAGGAAATAGAAGTGGGTAGGTTAAACTAAGCCAAAGCAATAAAGACATTATCCCTTCTTCAGCTGGCATTTTGAATAGAATTAACTACTCTAAAATGCTGTGACAATGTATTTGTTGAGACTGCTGCATAATTAAAACACTGCATGATATAGATGGAAACCAGCAAAAAGTGAAGTTTGTTCCCACAGGGAGAAATCCTTGGGTTACTCATTAACATGACTTAAAATATTCTTGTAATTCTACTCTGTATTTTTCTCTCGCTCCAGAAAAATCATCCCTATTTCTGACTTATTTTTCTTTGCTGAGGCTTACGAGTGCTATGAGCTCTTTCAGACTCTGATGTGTAGTCAGTGGGGGCAGAGGCACTCCACAGCTTTCAGAGCTGCTCTTAATCCTTCCTGACTGTAAGGCAGTGACTCCCTCAATTATAGTTCTTGGCAGTCCTTCTTCCCGAAACTTAAAGGTGTACAGAATGTCACAAGCAAAATGCTTGCCTTGTGCATGTAGTTGGGCTGTGGTTTGTCCTTTGTCACCCTCATTGGTTTCTTATCCATTGCAATTTAAAAATAACCTCCTGTTCAGAACTGACAGGAGATTTGCACTTACATAGTTCCTCCTCGTCGCTTTGCTACTTACACTCTTCCTCCAGCCTTTCAGTCTTGCCCACTGCCAAAGGATTTGCACACCTGGAGTACCTCTTTCCTCCCATGACTTTCTTTAGCCACTGTTTTTTCTGCCCCATGTCTTACCTTGATTTTCTTTTTTCTTCTTTTGCCAGATTTTGAATGAAAGACACTCAGTAAAATATGATATAGTGAATTAGTGGAGAGAGGCTTAAAATTGTGGAGAATGATATCAAACGTGTGCCACCTCTCTGCTGCATTTTCTGGACATAAATGTGCTCTTGTGCCATTACAGAGGTAGTGTTGCTTGCAGGTGCTTTTTACATGTTGTAAATTCTAGTATAATCTTCAAACAAATTTATTATTCGATGGTTAATTGCTTCCAAGGAAACATTCTTGAAGCAAATCTAATTATGTAGATTTTGGTTGCATTTTTTGTCTCTGCACTGTTGCAGAGTGTACCTGGTACTTTTCATAGTCACGTATGATTTGTACAAGCATATAATTAGGTGCTTTGGAGGCTAAATACCAAAATAAGTTTTGCACAAACAGAAATAATAAACATAAGCTGAATTTGTTGTATGTTCTCAAATGCACCTTTAAAACCCACTGAAAATTCAGCTCTTAAGAACTGCTCAGAATAAAATAGATACTTAAATAATGGTTTTCATGTTAGTGGGTGGAAAGGCACTGAGTAGGAGCATTTGGTTCTAATAGCATTGAATGGAATATGTCAGAAAAATAAAACTGAAAATTGAGATTAATTATAATAAATACAAACAGAACACAAATCACTTTCTAAATAAAAGCCTGCATGTAGAGTCTTCCTTCTGCTAGATAAAAAGATCCCATACCAAAGTTGCTGAAGTGCAGAGAAAGTTTAACAAGACAGGATTTACAGAGATCTGTAATCTCTTTTCTGAAGCTGCTCAGTTTCTTTCAGGAGAAACAGCTACTAGGCATAAAGACCTTCTTCAGAGTTTTCAGTGCTGCAGTGCAATTCTGAAGAGTGCTTATTCTTTGCTATTCTGCATGAACACATAGTGATAAATGCATTCCCAATGTATTTGCTCTAATAAATGAAAGAATTGGGGGTGAGACTAATAGGAGGAATTAATGTGACCACTTTTTAAGTGTGGTGTTTTTCTTCAATGACTTGAGTAAAGGACCAGAGAAAATCTTTTGCTTTCATTCTTGAACTTTGAATTTGAACAATATGCACTTTTAATGTCAATTTTCAACATTATGTTCAGGATCAAAATAAGCAGCTCTGCTTGAGTTCACACTTCTGTAGAGAAGTGTATGAATACTTATCTCTTAGATGCTTTCTGAATTTATGAGATTCCTCTATAAACTGCCACAAATATTCTCGTTTTTTGGGTTTTTTTTTTCTGTTTTCAGATTGCATTTATTTTGACACATGGTAAATTCATAGAATCATAGAATAGAATATCCTGAGCTGGAAGGGACCCACAAGAATCATTGGAGTCCAACTCCTGGTCCTGCACAGGACCCCCCAACAATGCACCCCATGCCTGAGAGCATTGGCCAAACACTCCTTGAGCTCTGTCAGGCTTGGGGCTGTGACCACTGCCCTGGGGAGCTGTTCCAGTGCCCGAACACCCTCTGAGGGAAGAACCTTTTCCTAATATCCAACCTAACCCTCCCCTGACACAGCTCCAGCTGTCCCTCTGGGTCCTGTCACTGGTCACAGAGAGCAGAGATCAGAGCTGTCCCTGCACTGGCCCTTGGGAGGAAGCTGCAGATCCTGATGAGCTCTGCCCTCAGTCTCCTCTTCTCCAGGCTGAACAGACCAAGTGCCCTCAGCCATTCCTCTTCTGGCTTACCCTCCAGGACCTTCACCATCTCTGTGTCCCTTTTTTGGACACACTCTAATAGCTTTATATCCTATTTTGCTAAGTTCCATGTTATTTTGTTCTGAACATGCAGAAGTGTATATATACATTTTGAGAAACCTACAAAGTAACCTTTTTCATGCTGGTGTAACACACTTCCAATGAGTTTGGTTTTATTCATATCAGTAGAATGCAGAAAGATTTATTTGCAAATATGCTTTTTTACTTTTTTTTCCCCCTCAGCCACAGAAGCAGGTACATACTTTACCAAGCTACTGCATCTCCCTTAGAAGACTCCATATACTGCACATTGCTGTCAGCAGTTTGCAGCCTCCCCGTGGCTGACAACCTCATTCAAGTGTAGAGTGATATGTCTTGTGACACTGCATGCTGTCCCTGTGGACCTGATTAGTTAGATAGAACTTTTACTTGATATACACTGCTGCATTTTCTCAGTCTCCTCTGCATGCAGTTACAGCACCACGGCAGATGTGCTGTGAAATCTGTGCTGTAGCAAATGCTACTGTTCCTTCACTGGAGACAGCCACCGAATTCACAATGACATAGATCAGAAAGTGAAAAAGCATTAAGAAACTGGGTTTGGGGTATATAATTGTAGCTCCTGTTTTATGGAACATGTGTTATTTGTCATGTTTTAAATGGGTTAGAACTTGCTTAATAGATGTTTTTAAGTAAAAAACCGGTATAGTTAATGTAGGAACAGTTGTGTATGTAAGAATCACAGAATCATACAATATCCTGAGCTAGAAGAGACCCACAAGGATCATCAGTCCAACTCCTGCCGTGCACAGGGCACCCCAACAATGCACCCTGTGCCTGAGAGCATTGGCCAAACACTCCTTGAGCTCTGTGAGGCTTGGGGCTGTGACCACTGCCCTGGGGAGCTGTTCCAGTGCCCAAACACCCTCTGGGGGAAGAATCTTTGCCTAATATCCAACGTAACCCTCCCCTGACACAGCTTCAGCTGTCCCTCTGGGTCCTGTCACTGGTGATAGGGAGCAGAGATCAGAGCTGTCCCTGCACTGCCATTTGGGAGGAGCTGCAGACCCCTATGAGCTCTGCCCTCAGTCTCCTCTGCTCCAGGCTGAATAAGCCAGGTGGT